TGAGGAAGATGGTCGTAAGATGGACGATGGCAATGGTATCCATACTGTGTCTTCACTGGCAACTTTCTTCAATTGCCCACTAAGGAAGAGGTCGAAAGCAGACCCTAGGAAGGACAAGCACACCAACAAACAACACACGCAAATATGCACAGGGGACATCGATGGGCAGGCATCATTTCGTCAAAGCATCCACGGAGAAAAAAAGGTGGATGGGGAAGAGGGAGGGGAGCAAAGGGCGCAAAGGGGAAGGAGAAAGGAAGTCCCAATTCAGCCAAGCGGCTCCTTCATGCCGACGAATGGAAGGAAGGTGGTGGACTCGCTCTAAAGTACTTTTCACCTGCTTCCACCGCGCAGGATCATCAGAGAACCGAACAACCTCCATTTCGTACTGAAAGGGCCAGGGAACATGATGGGTCAGACCCTATTCCACAGGAGACTGCTCAATAAGACATGCAAAGGGGCATAGGGAGGGGGTCAGGGGTGGGGAGTGGGCAAAAGGAGAATCCATATGCTCATTTTTGCAAGGAAGGAGGGCAAGGGGCAGGGATTGAGCGGGGTATGGGACAATTGAAAAGGGACGTGATGAGAGAGTGGGAGAGAGAAAAGAGGAAGGGGGGAGGAAGGGAAAGAGGAGAGAGAGGGGGAAGAACCCGAGGTCATCAAGGGCGCATTACCGCCATGGATCCTGCAGCTGCGACTCTCCTACAGATGGCGCAACGGTGAATCCGGAATGGTCGAAGGTAGCGATACCGCAAGCGGACAGTGTCGTCGTCGTCAATTTCCGATGCCCGGCCGGCGTAACGAAGGCACGTACATACGCGGCGGGACAACACGCTGAGAATACCGCAGACTCGGAGCACTCCCAACTACCGTGTACCGGCCCGGTGCGATCGTGGTGAAAGCACTTCGGCCATACACGAAGGACGCGAAATGCTCTGAAGAGAGGGAGGACAAGATCACACAACGCGAACTTATACCGGAGGGCAAGGGTCAGGAGTGGGAGTAACATAGTGTCCAGACCACTGGTTTGAGGCATGGATCGCCCGGTCTCCGGGGGGGGGTTCAAACTGCCACAAGGACAGCTCATGGTACCCATGTAGGCCAAAGATAATTGACATTAATCCACGGGGTATTTTTTGTTCATGGTACCGTAGCAAGGCCACCGTCCGTACATGACGCTTCCCATTCCGGGTCGAAATACAGGAGGCGACAATGGCCCAGCATCAGGGTCCTTTTGGGTTGAAATCGCGGCCACGGGTGTAGGATAGCCACTGCCGTTCCAAAGGGGACCTGGATCTGGCTTTTATTAGGCAACGAGCCTATGTAATCACCAAGCCAGACTCCATTAGCTAACGCGCGCATGTGTGTGTGTGTGTGTGTGTGTGTGTGTGTGTGTGTGTGTGTGTGTGTGTGTGTGTGTGTGTGTGTGTGTGTGAGAGAGAGAGAGAGAGAGAGAGAG